ATGGAGTCGGAAGCCTCTAATGTGAAGTCATCACAAGGGCGAGGTCGCCAGGAGCAAAAGGACCCCGTTGCCCCCAAGCCACACGGAAGGTCTAAGGAGATCATGCATAACTTTGATTCACGCCTTGCTCGGATGGAGGAGGCCATGAATGGCATGGAGGGCCAAGTAGAGGAACTTGGCCAAAGGGTTGATGGACTCGAGGAGGACGTCACCATCCATTCAACAATCAGAGGTATGATGCTCCAACTTGAGGAGACCTTAATGGGCCAAGTGGCTAAGTTGCGAGATGATTTTATGGGGAAGCTCTAAGAGGTGCGAAGTGCATATAAGGAAGAGATGAGCGACATACGTGCTAGCTTTGAGGAAATGCGTGGAGACATTTCGTTGTGCAAGAAGGCACTCGCTTCGTCCACAAGCCATCCCACTTTCGAAGCCTGGAGGATCGAAGTTCCAAAACCAATGAGTTTTGGAGGTACTCGCAACGCGAAGGAAGTGGACAACTTCATATGGGGACTAGAGCAATACTTTGGAGCGATGGGGATTGCCGATAATGATGCAAAAATTCAATTTGCTTCTCTTTATCTTTCGGACATCGTTATGCTTTGGTGGAGAAGAAGAAAAGGGGATGTAGAGAAAGGTTTGTGCACCATGTCCACTTTCAATGACTTCAAGAGAGAGCTAAAGAGACAATTTTATCCCGAGAATGCCGAAGATGAGGCTCGAGCCCGGCTACGAAGACTTAAGCAAAAAGGTTTGATTCAAGGCTACATCAAAGAGTTTACAAGTCTAGTTCTTGAAATCCCAGATATATCAGATAAGGATGCTCTCTTCAACTTCATGGATGGACTTCAATATTGGGCAAAGACTGAGCTTAAGAGGCGAGGAGTGCAAGATCTTGCCACTGTCACTGTAATTACTAACTTCTTTTATCCTACTTGTTTATTTTATATAGTTGTTGTTTATCTCCGTTTCTAACATATTTTATACTGATTTTATGGGCTTTTTATGCTATTCGTATGAGTTTTTATCCATTTGCATTTTATTTGTTTTTATTTTGGTACGTTTGAGAGGTCCACAAAGAGACATTTGACCATATTTTCTAAATGGTTTGTTAATCGTTGTTGGTTGGTGCCACATATGAAATACTAATGAAGGAAACCAAGTTCCTCTCTTATTTTCAACAATATGAATTTTGAGGATCTTCTACATAGACTTTTTTTGTGATAATCGTATGTGACACCCGCGAGTTTAGTTTTACGTGGTTTAAAAGTAACCAGGAACATTTTTTTACAAGGCCTGTTATCTTCTTATAGTTATAGATTCGTTAGTTGGTACACTGACTTCTCTAAGACATCACTATTATAAAAATTGTAATTAATCATCTTTAACCAATTTCAAACTCTGTTATGACTAATT